GGCCTTAAGAAAAATGAAACATCACTATTTGTTAAATATTTTTTATGATTATAAGTCTATTCTTACGAGACACTAAGAGCAGATGACAAGATTATGGTTAAAAAAAATATAGAGCAGTCAACATATGCTATATATGCAAACAATAGATACGAGTGTGTAAAATACAAACAACAAATCTCAACTTATTGCTTTATCTGTTACTTTTCTCATATTATTTTTCTGATATATTCTTCGTTAAGATTATTATTATTAATAGAATTTTTATTTAGAGTCGTGTATAGATTATATTCAAATGTAGTATTCAAAAGATCTAATCAAGTCTTTGTTGGACCCAAAATTTTGTTTAAATCAAAACGGAATATTCCACAGATGTCTTTTATTAGTTACAGATCTTAATGTCATTAGAATAGATTGATACTTACATAAAATATTCACAAGGTTTATTCATAAAAAAGGATGATATAGCTATTTTCAAAAATCCAAAACTCATGATAAGTTTATACATAGAAGTAATTTCAATGCAACATGTATATTTTGGCGAAAAGCAGAACTATCAAATACCTTCTCGAAATTTTTCTGGCAAAGACATACTGATCTAGAGAAAAAAGAAACTTTCTACAATTTAATTAACAGTGGAAGATAAGATTTTGATAGTAGATCTTTACCATACCTAGAAAAAGTATTTTAGATTCTACAATAACTAATAAAGGTTTTGATACTTTGTTGTTGCTTCGAATGGTAAGCATGACTAAGAAATGGATAAATTTGAAAAGGGGTGTGGGTGCGTGTGAGAGCTGAAAGAAGAATGACACCCACACCCAACCCACACCCACACCCAACCCACACCCACACACCCACACCCACAACCACACACCCACACCCAAACCCCTATTCATACATACAATATCAGGTCAAAATATCGTCATTCGATCCTTCTGGACGTACTAAGATTTCAATAAAACGGCTAAAATTTTGTATAGAGAGTCTAGATATCCTTGTCATTTTGAGACTTTTAATATCTTGTTAAGATTAGAAATGGCCGTTCAACTTTAAAAAATTTAAAGTTGAACGAAAAAGTTTTTTTTCAATATTTAGATTTTATACAGATCTGCTTCTCAACATTCGATACTCAATTTTTTCACTAAAGAAAGAGATTTTTGAGAAAACAACTATTTTTCATACTGTTTCACGATGAGTCTCCGAGATGTAATAGACTAAACGGAATATTGTAGTACACAATTGTTGAAAACGAATACTAGATCCGGATTAAGCGCCCCCGATTTATTTTCGCTAATCTTTTATAAAAAAGAAACCGTTATTTTCCCAAAACGATTTTTCTTTAGTGGAAAAAATTGAATATCGAATTTTGGGAAATTGATTTCATATGCCGATTCCCTGACATCAATTATCTATAGTCAAATTTTGACTAATGACTCACTCTAAAGTATCATTATCAGTACCTATAAAATACAAATGCTAAAAAACCTTTACTTCAACTCTAACTACCTTATCAGAGTATTTTGAAAGCTGAAGTGCCACCTCTAGTTGGAATCTAATTTATGCACCGAGCCCCAAATCAAAGGCGTTTTTTAAGTGAGAAACATTCTTTCGATAGACATATATTTGTTATATGACCAACTTCAAATACATCTGATCGTTTCATGTATTGAATAAATCAACTTCTGTTCTTTTCTTAAATGAAAATAAGCATCTTGGTTAGCTATAATATTTTGCCAAACAATACAAGACTTGTTTTCAGATACTATTCATAGAGTTTTTTCAGTCTTTTTTCTTTCTTTAATTTGTATTTCGTGCTAACAAGATGTCACTTTGCATATGAATTTAATGTATTTAGACAGTCATGATGTTTTATTATTTTATCAATATCTATTAGAATAATATCAAAAAAAAAAAGAAATCATTAAGAGAAATTTTGGATATTCTTATAAGTCAGAGTAGGAATCATTATTTTGACTTTTCATTTGATTATTCTTCATAAAATAGAGCATGTGTCTTTCTTTTTTTCCTTATGTGCATGTCGAACTGGTGGACCACTGCCAGTTACACGACGTTCGTCAAGTGGATCAAACCAATTATCAATAGCACCCATTAATATTTTGACAACATACTTTAAAAGAAAAAAACAAACAAACTTATTTTGTTAACTAGAAAAACACAATTATATTTACATACATCACCATAACTAAATTGAAATTTTTTTCCTTGTACTTTATGAATTTCTTCTCTTTCTGATCTATAATCATCAGCAACATCAATATTCGGGATTTTCTTATCCCAATTATTAAGATAACTATAAAGAATAAAGCATTATAAATAAACCAAAAACAGAAAAAAAACAAATTTCATTCACCCAATACATTCAGGATTATCTGTACAAGCAATAATTACAACTGGAATTCGATTAATTGGATTACGTTCGTGACGTAGTACATGTTCCAATGTTTTTATATCTTGTCGTCCACTATCATCTGTTGGTATACCATCTGTAGCAATCAATATTAATAATTTACGTTCTTGAACTTCAAGTTGTTTTTCTTGTAAAATTTGTCGAAGTATACGAACAATTGGAGTTGGTCCTATGATAATATCGTAGTTAATTTTAAAAAAATGTTGTTTTTTGGGTTTTCGCATTTTTATTTACCAGCTGGTGGAATAGCAAATACAGGAATAAGTTGTTCAGCATTTTTAACATTACGCATTGGCTGACGATTTAAAAAGAAAATGTCTATAATATAAAAATTAAATTATAATTAAAATTTTAGTTTTTCATTTACCAACACCATTTGGATCAAAACTTGATTATATATTTATACTAATAAAAGTATCCATTTTAATATATAAAAATAAAACTAGCTTACACAGATGCAATATCAACCACAATTGAAACCGTTTGTCGAAGTTCATCCCATCGTGTCGGATTACGATCGTATGGACCAGATATATCACCTAATTTAGTTCAAATATTTATAAGAAATAATAATTTTCATCGAAATAACGCAAACGTCAAAACAAATGTCCCTCTACGTATTTTCCCAATATCTCTATGTCTTAACCTTTCTTGTAAAACACGATCTGCACACATCTTGCAATAAAATTAGATAAATCATATTGCGAAACTCGAATATGACAAAGTCTCATAAATAAAAAAGCAGTCTGTTTAGATCTATTTATTGAAGTTCTAGTATTAATATCAGTCAGCTAAATGAATTATTTCTATTTTCAAACTTTTCAAAAAGAAATTGCAATTTGGGAACTCTGAGAAAGCTCAGCATTAGTCAATCGGCAACATAATGAATCAAAAGAATTTTATTTAATTTCAATTTCAAGAGGAATAAATAGTACATCAGATTGAAATACCAGAATCTCAGTAAAGATTTTTATTCAAGTACATTGAGAATAACCAATTAAAATTTTGACATGTTTTTGGTTCTGATTTCACAAAATAATATCTGTATTAAAAAAAACAAAACCTGATGGAAACGAATATCTATGTACATCATAAGAAAGAATGCAATTAGTTATTACTCTGTCGTTTTGTTCTATTTGTACAAAGCTGAAAATAAAAACAGTTGAATTGTTCTGAACAATAATTTTTCAAAAAGCCTTGCAATATTATGTATCTGATGTGTCTACTTAACATTTTATAGTCAAATGACAACCCGTGTATGACGATATTGAGAAAAATACTTCGAGAGACATTTATTTTAACACATTTATTCTCTTACCAAGTGGTGTATTCATCGATCCAGAATCTAAATAAATTGAAAAAGACATCATTTTATAAAAAATAGAATGATCAATGCTAAACGAAACATAAATAATACATCTATCATTTTTACTGTAAGAATGACGATACTATTTGTCTAGTATAAAATGAAAGAAAAAGTCTCATTCAATATCTTTTTCTTACCATCAACAATAAATACGATTTCGTATCCTTCTAATCCTCGTAGTCTTGTTGCAAATTCCCGATTGATTTCATATCGATCGATTAGATATTGAAATTTTCTCATACGCTCATCGTGTGTTTCTTGTAATGAGTTAAAACCAACTTGATTTGAATAAGAAGGCGGTGGCGCTGATACAGGATATTGTTGTGGATACATAATCAATTTATTGTGAATTTTTAAGTAATGAAAAGATTTTATATAATATCTTTTATTCGTTGCTTTTTCTTTGCCTTATAATATTAGCTTTCGTTCTAGAACCAATGATGAGTTGTTGTTTGAACAAGAAAGAAAAAAAATCTAAAAATAGTTTGACTTGTTAATAGATGAATTATATTAATAAGATTATTATTTAACACAAAGAAAATGAGATACGACTGTTTCGAAACTGTATGATCAAAAAACTCTTTATCTAAGTACATAACTCATATAGAGCTTCACTAATCGAAAAAAGAGCATGTCTACTTACTTTTCTTAGATGAAATGAGTTTTTCCTTATAGTCTACGTTACTTGAAAATCGGTAATAAACATAGTAATACGACTTACATCACTTAAATCTAAGAATCTATAGGTCATTTATGACAAGCTGAACGTATCATCTATACCCATGAACATGATGATGTATTTTGTCATTTGCGCATGTCAAGTCGTGATCCTCCTTCATTTGCATCTCCTTGTATAGCAGAGAGAGTGACCATACATGAGTCAACAGCAACAAAGAAAAAATGGTCACCCAATAGAACAATGATAGGTAGTGACAAGGTCAATATGCGAACACATGAATATAGCGAAAAGAATAGCGCACATTGAATAAAGCGTACCGGTCACATGAATAGACGAGAAAATGTAGAAAAGAAAAACATCGAAAATTATGACGGTAAGATGTCACCGGACACCAATTTTTTCAACATTCGGAGTTTCGCTGATTCATGCTTGTGTTGATGTGTACGTGACACTTATACATAACTGCTTCTTGTATTTGTTTCTAAAATAAATCTCATTATAGACAAACTAAATGAATTATGTAGACTTATTTAATTCTTTTCATGCGATATTTATTTAACCTACCTATGATTGGGCCTAAAGGGATAAATGATTTTGAAAACAAGTTGCTTATCAAGAATGAAAAGCAATTAAAGCAAAGCACAAAACATGAAGCATATAAAACTATGTGCATAGATAATGTGGGTTATGAGCGATGACTTGCCGAGTCGAATCATTTTGGTATGCGAGTGGAATGCATAGACCATCGACGAACGAGTAGCTTGCGATGTGTAGAACAGAACAGAGTTATATTAACATGGTGCTGTGGGAGGGAAAGCTGGAACACAATGCTTATTCTCGAGAATCCAACATATTAGCATTGCGCCAATTCCCTCCTCCCTCTGTGTAGGCTTATTTAATTAAAGAATGATTATAATATATTTCATCTTATCCGAATATATGGACCTTTATTAGATGTATGCAAGAAAAAGAAAGCAGATTACATCATGTGATAATTCAAATGAAAGGTGATTTTGCAGCTAGATCAAAGACAGTTACTATAAATCCAATAGAAAAACGAATCGATACTTAATATTTATGTTATCAAAACGATGATATTACTGTTTATGAACTCTTAAATGGATCGTCCTATGTTGTCATGAAATATACTGCATTGAAAAGCAAAAAATGATTGATTATATTCATTTATTGCTCTAATATTTAGTTAACTTATGTATCATGTGAATAACACTAGACTTGATCGTCTTGTCGTATTTTTTTTACTCAATAAAGACTAAAAAATGCGAAAGAACATGTTTCAATGTTTATTGTTAGATCATTTCGAGAGTTAGAATAAGTTCTGTCGAAATGGTACTCATCAAGCCTATGCTTGTAAAAGGTAAATCAATTTAGTGTGGAAACAAGAAGAGTAGTATTCGTTTTCAAGATCATTATTCTTACGACAAAAATTAAATGATTATCTTCATTCAAATATGCTTTTTGATTCTCGAAGTTTCACATTCTCTTCCGTGTTATCAGCTGAATTTCATAAATATGTATTAAATAAGAAAATAAAGACAAATACTTTAAAAATATAATCATGTCCAGTAAAATAATACGTGATGATACATAAAAAAAAACAAATTTGGAATATTCCATAAAGGAATCACCGACTTTTCGGATATTTTCAAAGAAAATAAGAAATAATGCTTCACATCATATGTTAATAAGCTACTTTATTTTACCATAAATTTTATGACGATGTCAGAAAGAAAATGGAAGACACACAAAAAAAATCAATCTTCGATGAAAAATAATAGTAATTAATATTCAGTCTTGTCTTTTTCTGTTAGGGACGCAACAAAATGATAGCATATTAAAATACATATGCAGATGAAATTTTATCTATTAGAATGTTGTATATAAAAAAAATATATAAATATATTTAATGGAGCTCATATACAAAAAGGAAAAAAAACAAACTAAAAGTCATGCGGGATATATCACTAAAAATAAAATAAATTACACTTAAACTATGCATGTACTTGACAATTAGATAATAATGATTAAAGATTTTGATTTATTGCCCAGAAAAAAATTGATAGGCAAGATAAATCTATCGAAATCAAATTAAGGTTTACCCGAGCAGACAACCAAACGACAAAAACGACGTTTAAACATCTCAATATCTCAACTGTTTAAAGTGTCATTAGTCGCCAAAAACGCGTTAAAACTCTTGGAATCGTTGAAATTTTAACTGTTTTAACGCGTTTTTGGCGACTAATGACACTGTTTAAACAGTTGAAATAATTTCGGTTATAGCGCCTCTGAATGATCAACAAACGTTTCATTTAAACGACGAAGTGCCACCAATTTATAACTAAATTCTCTTCCCACTGAGAAACTGACCGATTATATTCAAATTACCATTAGATTAATGTTAAATTAACATATGTTTATTCTTTGAAAACAGTGCGGAGAATTTCTCTCTCATCAGTTCGTTTCCTTTTATATTAAGACTAAGTTTACAGTTTACTATTTACTTATTTGCATATTTTCCTTTTTCTTTTTGTTTCTTCTAATAGTGGAATAGAATAACAAGACTTTCATGCTGTTCTATTAAATCTACATATGTTTATCTTCCGTTCCACTATTGAAAAAAACAAAAAGAAAAAGGAAAAGGAAAATATGCAAATAAGTAAATAGTAAACTGTAAACTTAGTCTTAATATAAAAGGAAACGAACTGATGAGAGAGAAATTCTTCACACTGTTTTCAAAGTATAAACATATGTTAATTTAACATTAATCTAATGGTGATTTGAATATAATTGGTCAGTTTCTTAACGAGAAGAAAATTTAATTATTTACGCTGATGTTTCATATTTCAAATAAGTGACGGATAAGATAGACTAATGAATAGATTTAAAATACTACAATTAACATAAGAATTGATGTAAAAAAAAAAAGGCAACGACGATTTATCTAACCAGCTTCTAATATGTAGAAAACTACCTACGACTGGAACTACTATGGTAGATAAACGTTCTTTTCGATTTTTATTAATAAATTCAACTTTATTTGGATCATATTTCAAAGTATCGAAGTTTACAGATATGAGATAACTAGAAGCGACATTGATGCGCTACGAAGTCTCTTAGTTGTAGTATTTTCGAAGTCAATTCCGGAATTGACTAAGCTACACTTATGCACAAGGACAACTATCTGTTTCTCTCTAGAATATTTCTTTTAAAGCTCGTTCACCTTTTGATAACTTGAGATTTCTTTTTCATTGAGTAGAAAACCAAACTGTTTGAAACGTCTCTTTTGACACGCGTATTTCTGTTGAATATTCTATATCAAACATTCTGACTGAAGAATACTTAATGGAATACTGCTATGTTGATCGTTGACGAGCGATTCTTATAGTTGTATTGTTATCTGTGTTGTACATACTATGTCTACGTCCACACCAACCTAGTGAATATCAAACTATTTTATACAGAAACTCGCGATTAATAGCAATGTAATATGTGTTCTATTCTTTATTTCATTTTGAATGATTTTCCATAAAAAAAGAATATATCTCAATCGATCATCTCGATTGTTACACATAAAAAGCATATGCATCGCATATTGTGAATCCAACATCAATTTTCAGTATAAGTCAGAAGTTAACTAACCTGTTTAGTTAAGCAACTACTCTGTGAACGAGACAGAACACAAATAAATTCAAAATCAAAAGAACAGACGAATAATCGGATGAGAGAGTGATAAAGGAATAACCTTCTTTTTCCTTTCTCCGTGGACTGAACGGACGGAAAGGAAAGACAGAACGAAAAAAATTTCTTTTAAATGAGGACGGATGATGAACTCTGTTTCTATGTGATAATGAAAAGTAGATAAAATATAAAATAGTTAATTTTTGAAACTTTCATTGGGAAAACTCTAACTCATTTTACAATTAAAGGGTGGTCCAGAAGTCCTGACTCGATTTGAATATTAAATTTTTCTTTAGCAAAACACATGGTTGAAAATTTGTCTCTATAAAGAAAAGATGCAGTAAAACACGCTCTACAAAATGGCTTTTGATTGACCCTGCTAGCTCATACAGTAAGAAAGTTATAGGCTTAGAGATGTGCTTCACAAAAAAGAAAAATTAACGGTGAACCCGATATCGGTATTTTTGCTCGAACTCCTGTTCCATAGGTCGCCTAGAACAAATTCGTTTTTTTAATAGAAGCGCCATGAAATTCTTTACAAAAACATACCTGAACTTTTATTTCAGAACTTCAATCAAGAAAACTAAGGAAATTATATGGCAGACGAAAAAAAATGAAAACATGGAAAATTCGGTATTTTTTTCAACCGAAACTTTTTCTTCTCTTATTATTTCCGTGAAGAAGCTTAGCAAAAGTGAGAACTGAGTTTGAGTTCGATAGATTTGAATGTACTATTTCTCCTGGTCTGTAGAAAGACTTTTTTAGAGCAGATGGTGTGCTCGAGAATGAAGTCTCAAAAGTGGCAAACCCCGTTCCCGACAATATACCCAAGCAAGAAACAGAAAACATGATGGAAGCTTGATTTTGTAGTTAGTTAGAGAAGAGCAATCATTTCTGATTAAAACAGAACAAACCTGATCGAAAATTTTTTTCGTTTGATGAAGTTACGGGACTC